TTTGAAGTGTGAAGCATGTTATAGTGCACTATTTACCCAAAATATGGATGGAACTCATGCATTAATCATTACGAAAACCAAAGGGAATCTATCATTTCCAACTACAGATGTCATTGCTGATGTTGCTTATGTGAAAAGATATTCAGAGAAAAAAATATTGCTTGCCAGCAAAATACACCCCTATGCAAAACTGTCAACATATGATTGCCACAAAATTGTAATTTATGTATTGTCAGAGTTCCTGAACAAAACTATATTCCCAGGCTTGGCAATACTGTACACATGTCAAAGTGATCCTCTCAACAATCATTTTGTATTGCTAATCAAAGCAGTAGCTGAGACCCATCTACAGGTCAGCTACACATATGCAGGCAAACAGTGCACAGCACAAAATGTCTCTCTCAAAGCTGTCCAAAGTAGAACTAGCATGATTAAGTTAACGTTGTTCAGCGGAATCTAATGATCAGTCTGCAAGGTAAAAATGCAATGAAATCCCTGTGCTCAGGGTACCAGGTTCGTGCCATGATAAGGATAACTGATGCTAATGATTAGTGTTGTTTATTGGAATGTAGTTTTATTGTACTATACAGGTAGTATATAATAAATGATTGAAAATAAAATAATAGTTTCACTTAATCACACAGGGACGCGATGTTAACAGTGCAAACCAGTGTCAATGAGGGTCACTCAACCTCCTGGCGCGCGACCAGCCTACACAAAGATGGTCGACGGGGGGGAGGATTGGCTTCACCTGACAGTAATGGGACCGCGCGGCATGCCACCTCCATCCTGTATACCTCCATGGTGTGGATGGAGCTATATTTTGTACATAAAAAATGTGCTAAAGTATTTTATGATTTGCTATGTATCAATTGTATTGTTTAACATAGCAATTTTTTTTCATTTAAAATGTATAAACTTTGAAATTTAAAATGTATAAAATTTGAAATGTGTTCAAATTTGGTTGAGTGGAACAAATTACCAAACACTATCATAAACTCAAACTAGTTGGGAAGTTTCAAATTTAGGATGGCCCAATAAGCCTGCTGCAGATTTCTCCATTCTTGTGTTCTTAAATCATAAATATTCAGAAAAATAATTTCAGGACAATTTTAATCCTGTAAATGATGAATTTCAGGGGGCTTCTATTTGACAACTACTCTTCCCCACCCTCTGCAAATGATTTACTTACAGAAAATTGTCAAGGATATGTTTGCAGTACACTTTTGATTTTGGTTCATTATGCACTTTTAATGCTCATCATAAAAGATAAATTAATCTCGAGCTTAGTTACCCTGTCCTACAGATGCCTTACATTTTAAATAGCTACAACTATGTATTTTGTTCATTGCAATATATGAGTAACGACAGTAATGTGTCCCCCAATATTGCAGTGTAAGGTGAATCATCGTATCGTGAATCATTAATTACCATTAAATAAAGAAATAATAATGAGATGCGTTCCCAAGTGTGACCTTTTCATATCTTTTGTGTGGCTTTTTACCCTCTTACCCCCCAAAACAATACAATTAATGAAAAATGCAAACTATATTCTTTAAAAAATGTTTATGAATGCGCCTTATACAATATAAATGAATAATAATAATATCACCCAAGAGGAGATGGGACGCCATTGTTTTCGTTAGTGTTTACAGCCAGGAGTCCGGGACGATGGTTCTACAGAAGAAAATACGACCCTGGTTGTAGCTGTAGTAAAATTAATGTAAAGAAATGAATATGTATGTTCATCGAGCTGATGGCGCCGTGAAACTCCAATTGGGGATTGCCCGTGCCACTTATGTGGTGGGAGTAGCACAGCTGCTTATACATCTTTATGTAGAGGTCATTTGTGTTTTTCATGTCCCTGTTAATTTTCATGCTTCTTTCTGTTAATGGATCCACTTCAGAAAATATGTTCATTACTTGCTCCATATTATATCCACAGACCTCTCACCTTTTTCATATCATTTTAACTTTTGAATCAGCACTACCATCACTTGCTCTCTAGCTCATGTTGAATAGGGATGCAAAAAAATGACGTAAGAAACCTGAGAATGTTTTTCTCCTTTTCCTGTTCAGATGCGTGAAAACAAAAGGCCCGCCAGCTGCGACTGTTTATACTGGTGTCACCACTCACAAGCCTAGCAGCCTCCGTGCGCAAGGCATGCTTTTTTTGTATACTGTAATACGTATTGGGATTTACCGGTAGTTATTATTTATATGAAAATCTAATTTTACTTTATTTTTATAATATTTTTGTCGTAAATATGAAGAAATAATATTGTAAATTGAATTGGGTCCTAAATTAACCAGGGTCTTAAATACAGTGGTCTCTCGGTTAACGAACGCCTCGGTTAACGAAATTTCGGTTAACGAATTACTTTCCACAAGAATATTCAATTCGGTTAACGAAAACAATCGGTTAACGAATTCCTTACGAATTCCTCTCAACATGTTCTCGCTTGCTCACCAGCTGGAATATTAGTCCGCCAATACAGTAATCGGTTCTAGGGCTTAAATTCGTTCCCATTTGAGTAAATATCAAGAAGGGTGTACTATTCAATAATTTTCCAAGTTTTATATTAAAATTTTTAGTCATTTTAACAATTATTTAACATAATTGAAGTACAGGGAACTAGTTTTCAGCGCGCCAAACAGCCACTCAACACACCAAACAGGCGTCAGTTTGTGTCTCTGGTCAGTAGAGGTAACATCTTGCTTGAGACTCTCTTGAATATAAACTATTTTTACATTTTTACAGCACAATTATGGGTCATTCTGAAATTTATTTTACATATTGATAATATATAGTGCAGTGCAGTGTTGATTTAAAGAAAATAATCTTTAATTACAGCTAGTGAACATAAATTTTTAGTGGTGAAATTACTGTATTGAATCCAGCATGGCTCCAAAGAAATCAAGAAAGGCGATTTTAATTCAAGTGAAACAGGAAATCATTAAGAAACATGAAGAAGACATTAGAACAAATGTGCTTAGTAAAGAATATGGTATGTCGGCATCAACTGTGTCGGCAATTCTTTCACAGAAAGACAAGTTCAAAGAAGTGAAAGTAAGAGACAAATCTACCAGAGTGTTTAAAGGTAGATCCCTAATAGCAGAAACAGAGAGGTTACTTCTTATTTGGATTAGGGAAAACAAATGAAAGGAGATTCAGTTTCTACTGAATTTATTTGTGAAAGAGCCAGGGAAATTTACAAACATTTGAAGGAAGATCAACCTGGTTTTTCTGGCACAGTGTTTGAAGAGTTTAGGGCCAGCAAGGGCTGGTTCAAAAAATTTAAGAAAAGAAGTGACATTTTTAGGGTTCTTAGGCATGGTGAAGCTGCCAGTGCAGATAAAGAAGGAGCAGCAAAGTTTGTAGTGGAGTTTAAGAAACTGGTGGAGGAAGAAAATTATCTTCCACAGCAAGTGTTCAATGTGGATGAAACAGGGCTGTTCTGGAAGAAAATGCCCAAAAGAACATTCATCACCAGAGATTAAGCCTCTTTAACTGGGCATAAACCCATGAAGGACCGTCTCACTCTATTGCTTGGTGCCACATGTTTCAGGGGATTTTCGACTGAAGCCTATGCTTGTCTACCACTCTGAGAACCCCAGGGTGTTCAAGCAACAAAAGGTGGTAAGAGGACAAATTGGAGTTTATTGGAAGTCCAACCATAAGGCATGGGTGACAAGACAGCTCTTTAATGAATGGGCTCTTGAGGTGTTTTGCCCTTGTGTGAAGAGCTACCTAACCACCAATAAACTCCCTTTAAAGGCTCTTCTTCTTCTGGATAATGCCCCTGGTCATGACCCTCAACTTGCCAGAACTTTGGAGGCTCGATTTGACTTTGTCAAAGTGTTGTTTTTGCCTCCAAACACTACATCAATTATACAGCCAATGGACCAGAATGTGATCAGCAACTTCAAGAAGTTGTACATGAAGAAAATGTTCAAGAGATGTTATCAAGCAACTTCCACTGATCCTGATCTAACACTGGCACAGTTCTGGAAAACACAATTCAACATCCTGGAGGCTGTAAAATTGATTGTGTCATCATGGCAAGGAGTCTCCACTAGATCCCTCAATTCTGCATGGAAAGCACTGTGGCCATCAGCAGTCCATGATTTTGAGGGATTTGAGGAAGAAACGGAGTTGGACCAGGAGATTGTGTCCATTGGTCAGTCATTGGGCCTCGAAGTGGAGGAGGATGATGTTGAAGAGCTTGTGATGTCTTATGAGCAGGAACTTACTACTGAAGACTTGCAGCAACTGGATGACATGTTAGAAGCTGACAGTGGTGAGGAGGAAAGGAAAGTGATGACTATATGTCTTCTTCATACTTAAAAGATGTTGTTTACCACTGGGAGATGTTCAGGAAACTGGCATCAAGGCACCCTGATGTGAAACAACAGAACCTGTTTTGTGTAATATTGAGGACAAAGTGCTCTCCTTCTTAAAAAATCAGTTAAGGATGAGGACAAATGCCCCACAAACAAAAATTGACAGTTTCTTCACTAAAAGGCAGCGGGAAAAAGATGCTACCCCTCAGCCTTCCACTTCAAAAAGGAGAGAGGATTTTCCTGCTGGAGAATCTGTCAGTCGAGGTTCCTGACATTTTCATGGAAGGTGACTCGCCTTCCAAGAAGCAGTAAAATGCTTCTCCTCCACCTCCCACTTCCTTCACTTCTCCCTTCTCCTCCTCCACCTCCAACTTCAAATTCACATCAGCATCATCAACCAGGAGCCTTCTACATACACACCTCAGAGTAAGTGTACTTTACTGCATTTTTTTTTTACTTTATGTAATTTTCAATGAGCTGGAACCAATTACCCAAAATCCCATTGAAACAATGGTTTCGGTTAAGGAAATTTTCGGTTAACGAACAACTTTCTGGAACGAAATGTGTTCGTTAAACGAGGGACCAGTGTATAAAGCAGTGTTAGTAGAACCGTCGTTATCGGAGGCTTTCCTGTACTCGTATATACTGTACTGTACCCTGATTGTGTGGTGATGACTGGGGAGGTTGTGTTGTGGCCGGCACTGTTGTTGTTGCTGTCGCTGTTGATGCTGCAGTATTGTTGGTAGTGAGAGATCCTCCAGTAGTATTGGCATTAGGAGTTGACCCGGCAGAAGAAGCACCAGATGCTGTACTGGGGTTACCTAAGTATACTTCAGCAATTTTGCCGAGCTGTTCACGTAGAAGTCTTGTGAGAGTTTGGGTCCATTCTGAAAAAATAAAAATGCTATGAATCAGTTGATCAACAATTGCCTACCCACCCTGCTCCATAGCAGGAAAATGCCTATACAACGAGAAAAAAAAGGAAAAAACCCTTTTCCATATGGGTAGAAAATGCATGTATCCTAAAAGATACTTAAACCATGCCCAGTCAGAACACACAGAACATTTAAAAATATTCACATATCTAATACAGTCGGCCTTTCACATACGCGGGTTTAGCATTCACGGATTCGCAAATACGCGGATTGCCCCGCCGGAGGAATATTCTGTACATTGAAGTAATTGACGTACATTCAAATCGCGCGCCATTCAACTCGCGTGCGGTACCGAACACGGGACACCGCCTGCTCCCGCAACCTCACACACACACACACGCATAGCTCTCCCTCACTCAGTCAGTCTCGCTGTAACCACGCTTGTGTTGACATCAGCATTGTAGTTGCAAAAATATTACATTTCCGTGAATGTATTATATCAAGCACAGTATGAATAGAATATCACTAATATAAGAATATTTTAACCGAAAACTACTAAAAAAACGAGTAACATATCTTGAACATTGGAAGGTTAAGTAAAGTCTCTTGTTTTCGTCATGTATTTTATCCTATTTTACATTGAAATATATCACGTTTCAGCAAAACTACTATTTATTTCTGAGAATATATTCATTCAGGCACAGTTTAGGTGAAATATACTGTACATGTGCTGTAACATTTTTTTAATTGAAAACGATTCAAAAAACATGTACCAAGAAATAACGTTGGAGAAGTTGAGGGAGATGACCAGGATGATTGAGGCACTGAAAAACCTGGTCTATAGTATGAACCCCTCCATGGTGAGTGCCCTGAAATTCATGCGAGGGATGGATGATGCTTTTGTTCCATACAAAAACATCATGGAAAAAATGAAAAGAAAGAGACGACAACTCCCCATCACCATGTTCTTTGATCACCGAAGGAGAGATTCAACACCATCAGTCGCTGGCGGCAGTGAGGAAGCAGCTGAATCCACCGTCGCCCCCACTTCACCACCCGTTATGGAATTGAGTGACGATGAGCCCGATGACCCCCGCCCTGTCGCCGAGGAGAGGTACGGTACAGTAAAGTGAAATTCTTATCTCTTTTTTTTAATAGCTTTTCTTGCCATGTTTATTGTTTGTAAAAATGCACAGCACAGTACAGTTCAGTACAAGTACTGTACATAGGAAGTGGAGGTGCAGTTATTCACAAAACATTTGTGTTTGTTGTCGGCAGTAGTGACGGGGAGGAGGTAGAGGTGGAGGAGGGAGTGGAGGGAGCGAGTTGGGAGGAGTGGTGAGGTGACCTTGGATGCAGGAGCAGGGACGAGTGGAGATGCCAGCCAGTATATTTCGGGTGTATTAATTGTTTTGATAGCTATTTTTGCATTTTAATATTAAATACTGTACATTACGTTTCAACAAAACTACCATTTATTTCTGAGAACAAAGAAATGTAATATTTTTGCTGAAATGATGTACGTATTACAGTGGAAAGTGGGATAAAATTGTGACGCAAGCAATGACTCACTCTCTTTCGTTCAAAAGATGTTGCCGTAATCGCTTTTCGAAAGGTTTTCAGTTGTGGGATTATAAGGCTAATGATAGGATAGAATATTATTGTAATACAGTACGAGTACAGTACAACAGTTTTTTAACTGAAAACCATTTGAAAAGCGATTACGGTAAAATCTTTTGAACAACGAAAGAAAGCGAAAGTCATTGTTTTCATAATTTTATCCCACTTTCCACTGTACATTAATATGTACGTCATTTCAGCCAAAATATTACATTTCCATATTTATTTCTGAGAATATATTCATTCAGTCACAGTTAAGGTAAAATATACTTGTGATGTAATATTTTAATGAAAATACGGTTTCGTAGTTTTCTTTTGTATCAAATTTAATTAACAAAGATTGATGTTTCAAATGTAATGAACAAAAATTTATGTACAGTATCTATAAATAAATTTGAACAAATGAATACTTTGTTTTACATCGTCCTGTGTATACCATACCATGGATTTGGCTACTTTGGGCTCGCTATGATGACGCAAGAGACTGCCCTGGCGACTGTCCCGATACTCACAGCTAGTGGTGCGTTGGTGCGTCGTTTCCATTGTTTACTGGTAAATATTTTTCAACCTAACGAAACTATCACCCTTTTAGAGGTCGACCCCCAATTTTTTTGCAAAATAATTTGGTCTTAAAAACTCGAACTACGCACAGGTATATACGGTAAATAAGGACATGGGGGGCCAGGGTTTTTTTTTTGGGGGGGGGGGCAGCAAAAGTACACGGATTTTTAACATTCACGGGTATCTCTGTTACCTAACCCCCGCGTATGTTAAGGGCCGACTGTATACTATAGGACTAGGCGTGTGTGTGTGTCTGTCTGTTCTGGGCAGCCGAAACGGCACAATCGTTTTTCATCAAACTTGGTGGGAAAAATCGCAAAAAATTTGTAGAGTGGAAAAAACCTGGTCCCATGTCAATGGTTTCTTTAGGAAGGCATTAATTAACCATTTTATTTATGATGGAAAACAATGCAAGTCTATGGACTTGGCGCACCTTCATTCGCTGTACGCTAGCCAAGCACGAGCGTTCAAACTTTCACTGGGCACCAAGGTGCCAGCAATCACTTGTGAAGACTATGAATGTCTAAGAAAGAAACTATACCATCCACCTACATTGACATGAAAAGAAGTGCATCAATGCACACAGGCTCATTTACCTCCTACTCCATATCTCATTTATAGTGGGGCAGCTAAATGCAATTTTTCAAAAGAATCATGCAAATGGGGGTTACAAGCACCAAATTTGGCATGGTAATTCTCTAATGGTTACTAGTCAAGTCTGCCTGACTGGCCATTTGAAAATCCAATATGGCAGCCATTTTTCAAGATGGCCACCATATTGACCTTCAAAAGTTGATTTTTCTTATAGAAATTGATGTAGTTGGTCAATCTGAGTGATCTTGGCATCAATATACATGTTTTCAAGCATGCTCAGATGATTTTTTATAGTTTTAAGTCCATTGTAACATTTTTATCCACATAAAATAACACTTTTAGTAAAAATATATATAAAAAAAGAACTGGTTCCTGTGACTTCTCCTGACAGTACATCTTTGTGCATTTACTGCTGTTCACATATGCAGCTGCAAAGTACTATGCAGAAAAGTCCAGAGCGAAAGCATTTGCATCTCTGGTTGGAGTCTTTCTTATAGGAACACTTGATACAGACAGAAAAACTCTGCTGTACCAGATGAAGCCACTCCTGCTTCAACAAAGGAACCGTTCCAACCACTGTCTTGTAGTAACGTTCCTATTGATCTCAGTGCAGCCATCTCTATGTGAGGTCCCCCAAACATAATAACATACCTGTCTTCTCCATACTCAGGCCAATGCCATTGGATATGTTTTGCCAGGGCAAACAGTGGCTGGTCAGCAGCTATGACTGGGATCTGACCTGGGTTCAGAAAAGCCACTGTTTCACGAACCTTTTCCATGACATGCTTTTTTTTATTACGGGGATTAGCCCACCTGGGCACAGGTCACTGATCCACATCGGGGCCTGGGGGGCGAAAATATAATAATAATCTATATTTATAAAACAAAGAAGTCTGTCTGTCTGTCTGTCTGTTTATTTGTTTGTGTCTCCGGACGAGAATCTCGGAAATTACTTTAACTATCTGTAGTGATGATGGATGGTGTTATATGTAGTGATGATGGATGGTGTTATATGTAGTGATGATGGATGGTGTTATATGTAGTGATGATGGATGGTGTTATATGTAGTGATGATGGGTGGTGTTATATGTAGTGATGATGGATATGTAGTGATGATGGATGGTGTTATATGTAGTGATGATGGATGGTGTTATATGTAGTGATGATGGATGGTGTTATATGTAGTGATGATGGATGGTGTTATATGTAGTGATGATGGATGGTGTTATATGTAGTGATGATGGGTGGTGTTATATGTAGTGATGATGGTGTTATATGTAGTGATGATGGATATATGTAGTGATGATGGATGGTGTTATATGTAGTGATGATGGATGGTGTTATATGTAGTGATGATGGGTGGTGTTATATGTAGTGATGATGGGTGGTGTTATATGTAGTGATGATGGATGGTGTTATATGTAGTGATGATGGATGGTGTTATATGTAGTGATGATGGATGGTGTTATATGTAGTGATGATGGATGGTGTTATATGTAGTGATGATGGATGGTGTTATATGTAGTGATGATGGATGGTGTTATATGTAGTGATGATGGTGTGGTGTTATATGTAATGATGATGGATGGATGGTGTTATATGTAGTGATGATGGATGGTGTTATATGTGGTGATGATGGATGGTGTTATATGTAGATGATGGATATATGTAGTGATGATGGATGGTGTTATATGTAGTGATGATGGATGGTGTTATATGTAATGATGATGGATGGTGTTATATGTAGTGATGATGGATGGTGTTATATGTAGTGATGATGGGTGGTGTTATATGTAATGTGATGATATATGTAGTGATGATGGATGGTGTTATATAATGATGATGTGGTGTTATATGTAGTGATGATGGTGGTGTTATATGTAGTGATGATGGGTGGTGTTATATGTAGTGATGATGGGTGGTGTTATATGTAGTGATGATGGGTGGTGTATATGTGGTGATGGGTGGTGTATACTGTATGGATGGTGATATGTATGATGATGGGTGTTATATGTAGTGATGATGGATGGTGTTATATGTAGTGATGATGGATGGTGTTATATGTAGTGATGATGGGTATGTAGTGATTGATGTTATATGTAGTGATGATGGATGGTGTTATATGTAGTGATGATGGATGGTGTTATATGTAGTGATGATGGATGGTGTTATAATGTATGTAGTGATGATGGATGATGTTGTATGTAGTGATGAAGGATGATGTTATATATAGTGAT